ACGAGGTGCGCAAAGTGGGACGCGTTACCGCGTCACGCTGTCGTCAACGTGTTAATAGTCAGTTCTCAAAGAGATGTTGTGAGCAAAGGAAAACCGCAGGAAATTGTAAAAACCCGCACTCCCTTAGGAACTGACTCTGTCATCTCGACAGTATCATTGCGGATCGGCAGCACTACGCCTCCGATGAGAAAGTTTCGTTGTGTAGCATAGCAACACGTCACAAGAACCGAATGCTTTTTTCCCCTCAAGAATAAGCCGCAACAGTTCGAGAAAATGCACGTGTGTGAAAAATTAGTGCCAATGTGTGTGATGCAAATGCTGTGCTGCTTCCTCATTCAGCTGTAAAGCTCGGCAGTTAAATTTAACCCTCGCACACATCTTCCCATCAGTTTTCAGATTCCGTCAGGTTTCAAATGACTCTCCTGACCGCAATCGGTCTCTGAGAATAAAGGCCGATGGTGGTCACGAGAAACATAAGAATTTGCAGCTTCATTGTCGAAACAAGATTTTCCCCCACATTTAAAATTTTGTTTATTTTGGCAATTCTTTTGTTTATTCCTCATTATTTCTTTTCTTCCACCCGACGCGCTATGAAAAATGAGTTGAAGAAAAAAGAAGTAATGAAGAATAGAAAAGCAAACCGTAAGTTGAACAAGAACATACGGTGGAAGATTTGGGCTTTCTTATCGATTCTCAGTTCCGTTTCGACGACCACTTGAAAAATATTTATTACAGAGAAAGCCAACCATTGAAAATTTTTGCTGTTTAAAACGTTCAAATCTAAAAATCCGACCTTGCTTGTCAAAGCTTATAAGATATACGGGGGGGGGAAGAGTCACCTCTCTCCACATTCAAAACGCAATTAATCTCGAATGCATGACAGCCTTCTACACCGACGACATCAGAAGATTTTCCCACGGAAACATGGTTCACGGTACGAGCTCAACGAGGTCGTCGAGGTACCATAGACCATTACGACGTCCCTGAAACGCTGGTCAAAAGCGGTCTTGCACAGTCACAGCTAGTGTCTCTGGAAGCTATTCACCAGTTAATCGATTGAAGAAATTATGTAGCAGCTTCAGGCCGGAGCGATTACGGTAAGCCTCGTTGAGCTCGACGGTGACGGCAGATGACGTCATATTCTGAAGACGGTGAGGGCAGTGAAGGAGGGCCTGCTTCTGCTTATGGGGGACACCTAAGGAATATTCTGCCGTAAAACATTCATTAACACGGCATCCTGTGCGACGAAAAATTTGATGATGTGCGCCATAGGCAAAGTGACTCTTTTTTTGCCCCCCCCCCCCTGTATGTGCGCTCAGTTCTTCGATATGCTACTTGCGCTTATTTCCCACCTACTAAGAAATTCTTAGGCATGCTCGAAAAGGTGCAGAATGGCTTCTCTGAAAATTATTAGTTAAAACGCTAGAATTATACCAACATCCCTCCTGAATTAGTTAGGAATAAATTGCTCAGTTTGGACCCACTACAGGGGTGGCCAAAAAAAGAGACACTTTGCCCATGGCGCACATCATCGAACTTTTCGTCGCACAGGGAGCCGATGTTAATGAAAGTTTTACGGCGGAATATTCCTTAGGTGTTCCCCGTAAACAGAAGCAGGCCCTCCTTCACTGCCCCGCCGTCTTCAGAATATGACGTCATCTGCCGTCACCGTCGAGCTCAACGAGGCTTACCGTAATCGCTCCGACCTGAAGCTGCTACATAATTTCCTCAGAGAATTAGCTGTGAATGCAAAACCGCTTTTGACCAGCGTTTCAGAGACGTCGTAATCGTCTATGGTACTCGACGACCTCGTTGAGCTCGTACCGTGACCATGTTTCCGTGGGAAAATCTTCTGATGTCGTCGGTGTAGAAGGCTGTTGTGTAGCTTGTTGATAGATTATAACGTGCTCTTCAATATTCAGTTGGGGTCATTTGGTTTGGTTTCGCAACGCGTAAATAATTCCGTTTTGAATGTGAGTGAAGTGTCTCTTTTTTTGGCCACCCCTGTATATTTAAGGATCAGGAGAATCGAATTCTCATGGTATATAATGTCCTTTATAAGCGCATTGATCCCGATAGTAACGCTTTTTACAAACTAGTGCCATCTATTACAAGAGGAGAAAAATTCAGGCTTCCGTCAACCACGTACAATTGAGCGCAGATTTAACAGTTCGTGCACGCATGGAGTTCTCAAAAATGAGCAAGGCTGTGCAAATTTCGCCCTTATTTTTAATTTCAAAAAGGCGGTTTTTCATTATCTCCACCGTCCTAATAAATGAGGCATTGTTTTGTTCGACAGTTCGTTATGTTTTATTTTACTTTGCTTTGTTTGCTTTGCCTGGTTTCGCATTCAAGTTTGTTGTGTTATTATCCTCTGTACTTGTGTTTTGCATGTAATGAATGAAATGAAATGGAATGGAGAACTGAAGATGAGGACCTCCAGGAGCTGCGTTTCAAGTACAGTGTGGTGAAAAATTACGTGCGCGTGACATTTCCACTCCTTTGAAATATTGTATAAAACGTACATATAGCAAGGAAAAAAGGCGCGGAAATCTGCTTACTCCACTTGGCAAGCACCGAGTAGAAGGACATCAGGGTAATGATTTTGAAATCAAATGCAAAATTCTAGCTTATGAAAACGACATCGGTGCTAGAAAAATGTTAGAGGCGTTTTATATCCGCGTGAAAAATCCAGACTGAACAACCGAATGAATGCATGGCCATTACCAATGAATTCTTGCCTTTCATTCCTT